CTCACATTCAGGTCCTTTATCCATTTTGAGTTTATTTTTGTGAATGGTGTGAGAAAGTGGTCTAGTTTCAACCTTCTGCATGTTGCTGTCCAGTTCTCCCAGCACCATTTGTTAAAGAGACTGTCTTTTTTCCATTGGATATTCTTTCCTGCTTTGTCAAAGATTAGTTGGCCATACATTTGTGGGTCTAGTTCTGCAGTTTCTATTCTATTCCATTGGTCTATGTGTCTGTTTTTGTGCCAAGGAAACATAAGCTTTAAAGAATACTGATGCCCAGGTTCCATCCCCCTAGATTCTTATTTAATTGGTCTGAGCAATGTCCTAAGCATGAAAAATTTTAAAGCCCCACAGGCAATTCTTATGTGCAACCATTATTGAGAACAACTGATTTTAAATGACATAAACTGAAGACAGTAATTTAGTTGTTTTGGGGTATATAAATACACATACATGCATGTACACATACACACAGAGTTCGAAAAAGTTGGTCACTCTTCTTGGAAGCAACCTCTTAGTATCCTAGGCTCATCACTTCTCTCACAAGCTCATTCAATGTCTACATATGAAAGTAACTTTGACTTTGTTACCTATAGATGTTCTAAAAACTGGAAATATGATATAGTGGATTACTTCACAAATAATATTCACTTAGAAGCTGACAGAAGAACTAACCAAAGATCCAGGTCTCACAAAAACATTTCCTGTAAGATCGGGGCTGTATATTTTATTGCCGGAATTGGTTAAATTATTGTTTACTTCTTTTTTTACAACTTTTCTTGTTAAGAATATATTTGCATTCAAAGCATTTTGTGGGTTAAAGAGTAACTTTAATCATTTTCATGGTAACCTTTTTTTTTTTTTTTAAGACAGAGAGAGTGCGAGCAGTAGAGGGAGGGAGAGAGAGAATCTTAAGCAGGAGCCACATCCAGCACAGAGCCCAACATGGGGCTAAATGCCACGACCCTGAGATCATGACCTGAGCTGAAATCAAGAGTCAGATGCTTAACTGACTGAGCCACCCAGGAGCCCCAATGGTGACCATTTTTTAAATCAAAAACTTTGAAGTATAAGTAATGTCCAATATAGTGCACATTTAAAGTACACAATTTCATAAATTTTGAAATATGCATACACCCATGAAACTGTTGCCACAATTAGCATAATAAATATTTTTATCACTTTTAAAAGTTTTCCCACACTCCTTTGTAATCTTATCTATCCCTCCCTCTACTCTTAACCTAGACATATACTTTTTGTCATGATTACTTTGCATTTTCTAGGATTTTATATGCGTGAAATCATACATTATGATAAAAAGTTTATATCTGGCTTATTTCACACAGCAAATGACTTTGAGATTCAGCCATTTTATTGTGTTTATCAGAAGTTCTTTCCTTTTTATTGCTGAGCAATATTCCTATCAATACTGTTGACTACCATATTGTACTACCAACTTGGTTTTTTGGCACAGAATATTGTGAGAAGCTAACAAAAGCTCCTAAATGTTGGTGTGAATGGTTTTTCGAAAAAATGAATTCAGTGATTTTCATTTTACTACGTTAGCTCTGTCTAAAACAAGTAATATATTTATCTCAGATACCTTCTCTAGAAATTGGGGATATACTACCTCACCTGTGTAATTCACCTTAGTAAGGGCTTATGGACTCTCTGACTTCTAAGACCTGTTGATTATATTGTGGTAAGTAAACTTTATAGAAACAGCAATGCCCACTTATTTACATATTGTCTGTGGCTGCTTTTGAGCTACAACAACAAAGTTGAGTACTTATGACAGAAACTATATGGTTGTCAAGTATAAAATATCTCGCCACTTAAAAAAAAAGAGTTTACCAACCTGTTTCTAATTTATCACAAAATAACCCCGAAGCTAGCCAACAAATTATTTGTAGTGATTTACTGATTGACAAAACCATTCTACACACACACACACACACACACAGAGTAGAATGTCACTTTGGATAACAAGATCAAAGAAAATATTTTAAATATGTTAAAGTAGATTTACAAATACCTATAGCAGTACCCAATAAATTCAGATGATATGTAAGTTACTAAAATCAAAAGGCACATAATAAACCTGAGTTCAAACAGTAAGACAGTATCAAATTAAAGAAGTACTATAATAGCTTTCTAGGAATGTCTTGAAATAGACATGCATGTTTTCAATTCCTGCCCAAATGATAAATATTTAAAGACAAAATGAAATAATCACTATTGCCAAATAAAAAATGAACAGCCTGAAAAAATGGTTGGTAAACTTAGATATCCAAGTGTACTTATCACACCTTTCTAATCTGTCAGATTTTTGGTCTAGAACAATAGAAGGAAGGCATATTAACACAATGGTTAAAAAAATGGACTTTGGGGCGCCTGGGTGGCGCAGTCGGTTAAGCGTCCGACTTCAACCAGGTCACGATCTCGCGGTCCGTGAGTTCGAGCCCCGCGTCGGGCTCTGGGCTGATGGCTCAGAGCCTGGAGCCTGTTTCCGATTCTGTGTCTCCCTCTCTCTCTGCCCCTCCCCCGTTCATGCTCTGTCTCTCTCTGTCCCAAAAATAAACTTTGAAAAAAAAAAAAAAATTAAAAAAAAAAATGGACTTTAGGGTCAGACAAACCAAAGTCAATAAAAGCAGCAGTACTATTTTACAATAACTAAAGAAATGATTCTCCAAACGTATTTTGTAAAAGAATTATTTTTTAAGAGGAATTACATTTTAAATTAAAATCAGTATCATTATAGAACTACAAACACTGAAAACTCCTAAGGGAATATATGAGGGGAACTGACAGCTAAAAAAATGCTCATCCCTAGAAGAAAAATAAATTTCTACTATAGAATGTAATAGAAGCACTTATTTGATTATTCATCTGAAAATAAATCTGGTTGGCTAATTCAGTGATCTGGGTTTTCTCTTCCTAATTATGGGTTGCTGCTTTTTTTTTCTTCCCCCAAAGACATATACCAGGTCATTAAAAGTCTGATCTGGCATCATCTAAAGCACAAACTGAATGACTTCAAGAAAAACAATGTAGATGCTAAAATTACCTGCTATAATGACTATATGGAAACTGCAAGAAAAAGAGGAACTGTTTTGTAAATAATCAAGATCACATTAAAAATTATTTGTGGGCTCAAGGACAGAGATAGCACACTTAGGGTCTTTAGGAACAACACACTGCTGTAATTAAGATGCACTGCCTCCTATATCTGACTGCCCATAAAGATGACTGGGTGAGACAGTTTTGTTCTGTGTCGTTTAATCTCAATTCCTGGTCTTTATTTAGCATCTCTATCATTGCTTTGGAGATTCTGACCAAATGCCAAGAATTCTGAGCAAATGCCAAGAATTCTGAGATCTAACCAAAATGGAATGGTGGCCAATCTCTGTGCAATCACCTCATTGACTCATTTTGTTATTCTGAGATAGCTGCCAGGACCATGAGGCTGATTTCCAGATTCTATCCACAACGAGGAGTATCCAAATTTTCAGATGATTCCATATCTGAAAAGGGATTCTAGGAAACAGAGTCTTTTCCTGTTATTTTTATCATCTAATATGTAATAGGAAATGTAGTTTATAAAAGGAAATTGATTGAAGTTGGGCTCACCTGTCCACTTTTTCCTATTTCCAGCTCCATTATGGCAACAGGGGTATGTATTTGAGCTGAATGCCTTGACTGCGATTTGCCATCAACTCTCCAACTCAGACCTCGAAGCCCACTGTCCCAACGGCTCTGGTTCATGAGGCTCTCTCGAATTTTTGTCTTATGGCTCTTCCAGAATTTGGAAATGACAGCAGCTTGGTCACATGTGATCCCACCTTGCTTTTTGGTTTGAGCAGTCAAGAATGCCTCCAACTGGTTGAAATCCATGTCTGCAGATGCAATTGACTATAAAGACAGAAAAAATTATATAATTTGAATTTGGTAAATAACTGGAAAAAGCTTAACTACAGATCATATTTTGAATGACTCTAATCACTAAATCAGCTTTCAAAAAGCGTCATTAAATGACAGTAATGAGAATAAGCTCTTTAAAAGAACAAAAACATTCTTTTTACAAATATTGAGTATCAGAAAAGCTACTTCCTGGGGTGCCTAGATGGCTCAGTGGGGTAAGCATCTGACTCTTGATTTCAACCCAGGTCATGATCTCAGTGTCGTGAGATTGAAGCCCACATCAGGCTCTGCACTGGGCATGGAGCCTGCTTGAATTCTCTCTTTCCCTCTACCCTGCTCGTGTTCTCTCTCTCAAAATAAATATTTAAAAAAAGAAAAGGAAACTATTTGTTAAAAATTCCATGTCACTCAAATTCTATATCAATAACTAGAATCTAATTCTTAAATACCAAGTTCCATGATGGGAAAATAATAAAATTAAATAATTAAATAATAAAACAAGAAAATGAATTAACTCATCCTCTGTTGAAATCTTATATAATTTCACAATGCCTTATAGCCAGGCTTGGTTTGATATACTACGACTATACAATGCCTTGTCCATAGAAGAACTAAGTACATTTTGTTAAATGAATGCATTATGTTAGCTGTGTAGTCCATCTTCAGTCAAATAGCTCATTTACAATACTACTAGTCTAAAATTGTATACTACTCTACATTTCTCCATAAATTTTCAAAATTTAATTATCATTGCTGTTCTGTGAATAGTAAGCTGCTAAATAAATAAACTGAAGTGGAAAATCATCAAGGGTCTGTGGCAATGGAGCCCTGGAGAGGACAGTGACTTAATGATTTGGTCTCAAGATTTTCCTTGCCTCTTCTTTGGTATATCCTTATCCTCTCCTGGCCACTGGGGTTGGCATGAGCTCTAAACCAGACAAATCATAGTAGCCTCCTTTCTCTGGAAACAACAGCTACTTGAAATCAATTTCTCAATTTAGAACAGGAGTAGAAATGGTCTTTCCTCTTGGAATCCTGGAAGCAGAAGGCTATGAGGCTGGGTTGCAGACTGCTATCTTTGATCTGTTGGCAAAGGCCTGATTGCAATAAAAAAGAACAAAGCCAAGCAGAGATGAGAGTGGTTCTAATGGAATGATATTCCTGCTCTATAATCACCAAAGCCCTGGTTCCTGTAAACCTTTCTTTAATTTTGTATGTTATCTCAGCATCCTTTCTGCCTACAGGTACCAAAAAATTCAATTTAATATTCAAGACAGTTTGAGCTATATTCCTATCACTGGAAACCAATGGTCCTGACAATACTTGGGCAGTAGCAGTGAGAACAGAGGAGTGTAAAGGAAGACAGTGTACAGGTAGAATATAGGTAGAGGAAGTAGAATTGGGGCTGAAAGACAAACATACTGCCTTTCATTCTTCCATTAACATAAAAAAGAATTGTATGATAAATATAACAACTTTCTGATAAAGATATTTCACCATATAATTTAATAAACATATATTGAATACCTGCCTATTTACCTGGTATGAGGACCCAAATTCTCTAAGGCACTCAATAGAAATATCAATTTGTATAATGTACTATAATGAAGTCAAATTATTTCAGCTGGCACTTTGTTTCACAATATCACACCACAGCATCAGTGATTTATATCATTCTTTTCCTCAAATTATATCAAGATATCCATTCTGATATAACCTTACCTGTGATAGCATTTATTTTGGTTGGGTCCCAGTCGATTATATCTTGAACTGGGGTTAATTCATCCAAATTTAGAATAATCAGAAATTAAATAAGGAACTGGCTTTGGTTCAAGTTCAAAGTCATCAGTTCTCATTTATACCAAAAATATCTGAACAGCTACCATGGAACAGACACTGTTTAAAGCATGCCCCCTCCATCAACCAGTAGCCTTAGCTGGCAGCCTGGTACTACTCACTTATCCCTTATTCTTCTCTCTCCTCCACAACTTGAATTAGTGGTTCTCAACACTAGCTGCAAATTAGAATCATGAGGTACATTTTTAAAATATCAATTCCCAGACTCTATCCCAGAACTTCTGATTTCTAAAAATCCTAAATTGGGGCCCAGGCATTGGCATTGTTTAAAAGCATCCCAAATAATTCTAATGAGCAACAAAGGTTAAGAACTAAGCCTACATTTTGTTCATTAACTTCTACTGATTTTTATATCTGAAATAATTCTCCAATAATGTGCCTTCTCTGCTCTGTCCCTACTACCCAGCATAGAATACTCAAGAGGCCACCATCTTGTACCTAAACTAGGCTTGTACTTTGTACCTCCTCAAGTCTATCTTCTATTACCCACCAAAGTAATCTATCTAAAATGTCAATAGGATACTGTCACTTCCCTGCTTTAAGGTTTCCAAGAGCTGCTACAGTGGTTATCAGTCAATTATAAAACATTCCTATGTAAGTTATAAGTTACAAGTAATGTTATTAGTAGTAATAAAAGTACTGAAGTTTGTAAAGATTTATTTTTATAAGTATAAACTGGAGGGTTTTCAAGGTTAACCTTATATTAACAATTCTTGCCTTATTTTTTTCAAATTCTTATTTATTTATTTTGAGAGAGAGACAGAGAGAGAGAGAAAGTGTGTGGGAGGGACAGAGAGAGAGAGAGGGAGAGAGAGAATCCCAAGCAGGCTCTGCACTGTCAGCACAAAGCCCAATGTGGGGCTTGATCTCAAAATCAAAATCAAGAGTCAGATGTTCAACTGACTGAGCCACCTAGGTGCCCCAATTCCTGCTTCATTTTAATTGTTTCCTTGAATGTAAGGAAAAAAACAGAAAATTACGAACATAAGAATTCTACATGGGAATAAATCATGCATATTACTATTTGTTAAGTGTGTCACGATGGAATAAAATATTGAAAACTGATCATCTGGGGGCGCCTGGGTGGCGCAGTCGGTTAAGCGTCCAACTTCAGCCAGGTCACGATCTCGCGGTCTGTGAGTTCGAGCCCCGCGTCAGGCTCTGGGCTGATGGCTCAGAACCTGAAGCCTGTTTCCGATTCTGTGTCTCCCTCTCTCTCTGCCCCTCCCCCGTTCATGCTCTGTCTCTCTCTATCCCAAAAATAAATAAACGTTGAAAAAAAAAAAAAAGAAAACTGATCATCCAGGGTAGTGGTCCTCAGCAAGGTAGTAGTGCCCTCAGAAGTCACTTGAAAAATGCTGGAGCTGTGTTTGGTTTCATAGTGACTGGAGTGCTGCTGGCATCTAGCAAACAGGATCTAGGGATGATCGGCATCCTACAATGCTCAAGAAAATGAATTGACAAACATTCTATAAAGGTGTTACATATTCCTCCTTTTTTGTTGTTGTTTTTTGGTCCAACTCTCTAAAAATAATATAAAAACCATTCTGGGACACGTGGGTGGCTTAGTCTGTTAACCTTCCAACTCTTGATTTCGGCTCAGGTCATAATCTCACAGTTTCGGGAGTTCAAGTCCCGCATCAGGCTCTGCATTGACAGTGCAGAACCTGCTTGGGATTCTTCCACTCTCTCTGCCCCTCCCCTGCTCCCACTGTTCCTGTGTCTCTCAAAATAAATAAATAAACTTAAAAAAAAGAAACCCTGATAATTTAAAATATACATATAAATAAATAAAAATATAAAGACTATTCCTAGCTCATAAGCTATACAAAAATAGGCAGTGTGGCCTCTGGGATGTAGTCTACCAACCCCGTCTCAAGAACATCCCATAAAACAAACAGACTCATGTCCCACATGACTTGGCAATGTTCCACTTAACATTATGTGGAAAAACTTGTTTATAATTACCTGAATCTAGAAATTAATCTTTTTTTCATAAAAAAATTTTTTTTGCAGTTTTAATAAACATCAAATTTATGGGACTGAAACTAATATTATTTGTACTTTAATTTGGTCAGAACTTTACAAACAGGTTGTTGAACGTTTTGGAATATTACCAATGGCAATAGCAACTAAAATATCTGAATTACCAATACATCTATAAAAGTCTATGTTTATTGCTGCACATTCACAGGGATTCTACATAGAAGTACAAGTATCTGTATGATTCATTACATGTTCTAATGCAGTAATGCTTGAACATTTACATTTTAAAATACATATTTCAAATTACTTTATTTCATGTTTCTTAGAACTTGACTTTATAGTACATTTATGTCATCGTGTTAATTTGTTAGAAATGATGCATGTTAATTTTATTATATATGAATTATAACTATAAATAAATTCTATTTAAAAATAATAAAGGGGCATTAGAAAATATTTACTACAGGAAGGAAACACTGGACCTCATAGATTTGAGAACCAATGAGGATAAAGTCCAAGCTCAACACCACAAGATCTGGTCTGGCTTATCTTTTGGTGCCTCATAAACTTCCTGCTTCCCACACTTGCCATTCACATAGTACTAACCTGTTTGTAATTCTCCAACCAGAAATCCTAATATGCTACTTCTTTTTATGTGTCTTTGTTCATTATTCTAACTGCTTGAAATGTCCTTCCATCACATTAATTTCCATCAGATTAAATGTCCTTCACCAGATTAACTCCTATTTACCATTCGAGACTCATTTCAAGCATGGCTTCTCCAATATTCCTCCTCCCCTAGTAAGGTAAGGGCTCTTTTCTACTCCTTTTATATATACATATACATATACATATACATATACATATACATATACATGGTTTATTTATTTATTTATTTATTTTGAGTGAGACAGAGAGAGAGAATTCCAAGCAGGCTCCGCACCTTCAGTGCATGCACAGCCTGATGCGGAGTTCAATCCCATGAACAGCAAGATCATGACCTGAGCTGAAACCAAGAGTAGGACACAATTGACTGAGCCATCCAAGCAGCCCCCACTTTCTATTCCAAAAATGCCTAATATTTCTGTCATTATACTTACCTCGATGTAATGAAATTATCTGTTTACAAGCCTATTTCACCCAACAGA